AGAACTAAAATGGAACCAATGGAAGCCAACCAACTCAATAGAACCAGAAAAGGAGGGAGCTGGTAGCTGTAGTCGAGGCATGGGGGGGGGGGTAGAAGATCACCCGAGGACAGTGAGAGAGAGAATGGTGATCTCTCAGCTAAACTTGTACCCCATGGCTGCTGTGCTTATCAGTACTGTGCACTGAGCAATAGTTACTGCCTTTATCCTAGGATGCAAGTGCCTCATGTAGGGTGTCTACAGATATGACGTCTGGCAAATTTTCGTGGTGCTAATGTGACCCAGGTGAGCCAAAGGTGATTCTTATGAAAGATCAGGTGCAGCTACTGTATTTCTAGCAAGAACCTGCGAAGTGAATGTATTTTCGCGCATGTCACTTTTATGTCCGTGCAAATAATTTCATGAGCAGCAATTTGAGCTCCAAATTGGCCCTCGTATACGGCAGTGGTGATAGGCAGTGGTTATTGCTCGAGAAGTTATTGTTAACAGTGTTCAGATTAGGTTGCATTACATCACCTGGATATCATTGGTAAGAGATCATGTGTAGATTTGTCTATGATACCGCTTAAAGTAAAGATAATTATCTCCATTTCCATGTCTATATACATTTTCATTACATGATTAATAAATTAAATTTTCTAATTTGGATGCACAGATGTGCCATGTTTAATAAATTTGATGCACATGATGTTTTCAGGAAACCCTTTCTCCCTCATATTGCTTTTGCTGCATCGGTCCCACAAACGGATTCTCCGCCTTTATACTAGCCCTATCAAACAAACTCTTTTTGATGAACCAATTACTCTGCACCACCAGGTTGAGATCAGACACGATCAATATCTGGCAAGATCTCATCAAGATTAAGTGTCATTGCTCTAGGCATTTTACATTGTTAATAACCCCCTGTAAGAGACTTGTCCTAGTCTAGCTGCACACAATGATGGACCAACATTAATCTCGAACAGACAGCCAAAATCAAAACAAAACCCAGCCGCAAGCAGCAGTGAAAAATACCCACCCCTTGGAAGTGGTATTTAATGAAGATAAACTGTCCACTCAAATACGGGACACTCTCCACATGGCAGAAAACGAACCACAGGGAGCAGGTGGAGCAAAGCGGAGCATAGAGCCAAGAGAAAGATATGAAAGTCACACAGCAAGCCATGGAACAGTCAACATGCAAAGCACCTGACAAAAAAGAAATCAATCAACCACCTAGAGATACCCGAGAAATGCAGGGATAAAAATCCTCCTCTACAGCATAGGGAGAAAGGACAAGTGCATTGGGCAGCATGCCCAGAAGCTGGCAAAGAGCCAACGGGGTTTCAACAAACTCAGCTGGGTAAAATAGCCAAAACAAAGAACCAGGAGAGGGTGAAGCAAAAGCCCCATCCAGGGAACAAACCAAAGGGCCTTGGATCCCAAACAAATGCAGAACACCACTCTAGAACCCAAGAACTCTGGAAGGTGAAGGAAGAGTACAGCAAAGCCATACAAAGCAGCAAGTGAACATCAAGCAAGGTGAACAGATGAACTGCAAAAGCCTCATGGGACTGCACACCCACCCAATAAGGCTAGGAAAGGATGAGAGGGGGTGCAAGAAGGAACAAGAGCATGCACACAAAACCACACAACCCCAAAAACAACATGGCCGGACCCAGAACTAGATGGAACCTGCGAACTCAAGCAGAACAAATCCACCTGAAAGACAAACAGGTCTTTCAGGTGGATTTGGCCTATTGAAGGCCAAAAGTATTGAAGGCCTATTGAGTTCTTTTGGCCTATTGAAGGCCAAAAGCCAGAACCAGCCAAGCACATGCCCACAATGAAACTAACCAGAAACCCCACCAAGCAACCAGAAAACCGATCCATCTCAGTTTGAATCAACAAAACTGAAAAAGAGGAATTCTTGAAACCTGCAACTTCCAAGAACAAGAGGGTTACTAGATTCAAGCTATGGAAACAAAGGTGACAAAAAATATTAGAATGTTCTCTTTTGCAATCACAGTGGTAGATGGTTGGAACAAGTTAAGTGAGAAAGTTGTGGAGGCCAAACCCATCAGTAGTACCAAATTGTTATATGACAGAGTACTGAGAAGACGGGACACCACGAGCATTGCTCTCATCCTGTAGCTGCACTTAGGTAATTACAAACACAACCTACTAATTACTGTACATGGGAAGGCATTGGAGAACACTGACAAAGCGAGAGATTTAAAGGTGCTTCTGGACAGTAGACTGTCACCAGAGAATCACACAAAGGACATGACAAAGGCACAATTTGTGAAGACAAGAACCATCAGAGCCACCACAAAGGTCCCTCCCTATCTTGCAGATATGCAGACTGACTGAAAGCCCAAAACAGTCAGTCATCAAGGCAGGTCAGAAATGAATTGCAAGCAACAAAAAGGAGAAACACATCCTGCATGATAAGTTCGAGGAGCCAGAACAAGCTGAAAGGAAGAACCTGAAACAGCAAGTGAAAATTCATAGGACACTGGGATATATTTATCAAAGTGTTAGTAACAAGACACCTGGTGTTGTTCTTCAGCTATATCTAGCTCTTGTTAGGCCCAATTTAGATTATGCTGTTCAGTTTTGGTTGCTATACTATAGAATGGATATAAATTCACTAGAACGCATCCAGCGTAGGATGATAAAGTTAATCCCACAAATTAGAAACCTGTCATACGAAGAAAAATTGACAAAGCTTAAATTACATTCTCTGGAAAGGCCAAGAATTGGGATGACATGATAGAGGTTTACAAGTGGATGAATGGACATAACAAAGGGGATATTAATAGGGGTAATAAAGTATCAACACAAGACAGAACACGAAACAATTGGTATCAATTGGATGAGTTTAGATTCAGGAAATACTGGTTCAGTAACAGGGTTGTTGATTTGTGGAACCAATTACCGCATAATATAATAGAGGTAGGATTCCTTGATTGTTTCAAGCGTAGGTTAGACATATATATAAATGAGATTGGGTAGTTATAAATAGGAGCTGCCTCGTATGGGCCAAGAGGCCTTATGCAGTTACCTTTGTTCTTCTGTTCTAATCCCCCACCACCTCCCCGACAACAGTGAGCGAGGTCCTAGACAAGAAAAACAACATACAATACAGACTAAGAAGTGACTTGCAGTGTCAGGAAAACAAAACCTAGAGACTGCCCACAAAACCAAGTGTAAAGTCCAAAGGTCAACTGAGAAGATGAAGATAAATGAAAGGAACAAAATCCGAGAAGACGAAAACTGACTGCAGAGCCGGAGAGTCACGCACGGGGAAGAGAACAGAACAATTTCCCACTGAGAACAGATGGAAAGCTGAACCAGCAAATGTCCAACCAATTTGCAAAGACTGAGAAGCCAGCCCAGGACCAATGATGCCATAGTAACATTTGACCATTTTGAAAGGACCATACATTCTGTGCTAAGTTTAGTCCTAAAATTCCTAACGCATTATAAGTCAATACAATTAGTTACAAAAACTGACATCAGGGACTACACTAGTCATTTCCAATTGGAACCTTCTTAGTGATCACACATAAGGGTTGTTAACTTCAAGCCCTGAGGTAAAATGTCATACATTCATAGCCCCTGTATCAGGGGGCGGAGCTAATGTCATACCGGCTGGACGCTCGCTCGACAATTGGTGTTCTGATCGTCAATTCAGCCGGGTCGAGCTTGCGTTTAGGTTGGTAAAATGTAATTTCTAGTCAAATTAATTTCTTTCTTTATTTAATTTCATTGCTTATTGTTAATGACAATAATTGTTATTTTTGTTTTAAGCTACCTATTGTTAAACATATTGCTTAGTGTTATAAGCAATACTTGCTTGTTGTTAAACTACTTGTTATACTGGCTTGAAACTGTATGGCTTGTCTTATTGCAGACTACTACGCTGCAATTATATGATCAATAAAGCCACTAGTCTGGCGATGCCATTGCTTTACCACAATTTATTGATCATATAATTCTGCCAGTGGACATGGAGCGGTTCGTACGGACCGAGCGGTTTACTACTGACCCAAACTCCCCCAACGCCACTCAAGATTGGCGTCACTTGCTCAAGCTGAATGAATCTCTTAATAAACTATGTTGCTCCACGCCTGTTTGACTACATAGCTGACTGTGCTATGTATGATGCGGCTGAAAAATCCCTAACTGAACAGTTTGTGAAGCCCAAGAATACCTAGTATTTACTAGGTATATGCTCGCTGCTCTACTTCAAGAACCCGCTGAGTCGCTTGACCAGTTTCTGCAGGCGTTGAAATTATTAGCCAAAGACTGTCAAGTCAAAGCTGTGACTGCTGCAGAAGCTTGTGATAACTACAGTTTGTGAGAAATGCGTTCATTAATGGGCTGGGATTCACCGCTATAAGGCAGCACTTCCTTGAAAATACAACTTTAGACTTGCAGTCAGCTTTTGACCAGGCTCACACTCTAGAAACAGCACAGTAATTTTCTGCTTCATATGTTCAGCCAGGGGCTTCGAACGTTGCTGTGGCACACTCATCAGACCTGGAGGACTCCGGAGGACAAGAAATTGTAGACTAAACAGTTGAACCATTCTCTGCAGCTACTAATAGTGGTTTAAGGGGTTTCTTTTGTGGTTACACTCGACATCCTCGCAGCCGATGTCCGGCTAGAGAAGTCCGGCTAGCCACTAGTCTGGCGATGCCTTTGTTTTACCACAAACCTTATATAGGCTTCATATAAGATTTTTAAGATAATTCACACAATACTATGAAGAAAAAATAATGCACAAGGTGAGATATAAAATTGGAGCTGGTGCTTTAACTCCACAGGAGAAAACTTTACCCATCACTGCAACCATCACAAGAAAATTTCATTTAAAACTTCAAATGCCAATAGTACACAAAAGTAATGCTTCATAAACTCTTCAACCACTATCAAACCTCTCAAGTGTTTGAGATGCTGAAATAATGGACTACATTAATTATTTGAAGAATTCTCCTTACAAAGAATCTTACCTTTGTCGTGGGCGAGTGTGTAGTCATTCTGCTGGCTGCTCCCCTCATCCCTCTCACCAGTTTGCCTCGTCTCCCAGTAGCTGTTCTTGGACTTTCTGATGCATTCCTCTATTAACAGAAAAACATTTGTTGCCTCTAAATCTCTTCATCCATAACATCAGTAGTTTTCTGAACTGGCCCTCAGTAGTTCCCTTATGCATTGGCTCTGGTACCAGACACACCCACAAAACTACCAGGCCTTTGGATGTGCGTGGGCCTACTGAACACTGACTTGGATCTGGTGTGTTCAAAGAGCCAAAGGGGGAGAATGAGGATTCAAAATTGACCTAGAACTAAGAGATATCTTCCACAAAGTGCAGTCAAAGCAAAATAAACTACATATCATTTTAATTGAGATAGAAGGTAAAAACAAAGGAAGTGGTAATTTGCTTAATGTCAACAAACCATGCACTAGTCCCCAAGTGCACCACTAGATGGCAACTAGGATCACCCAGGGGTGCAGCCTGCACGCCTCTTCACTCATGTGCCACAACCAAGACGGATCAGATTCTCATTGGAAAGATTGGCAAGTATGAAGGATATAGGCTGCCCAGAAAATGGAATTTTATTGCATTTAATAGATAATGTCTGGGATGACTCTCAGTAGCTCACAATGGTGCTTCGAAGAGGAAAGTGCCTTTGGAATGACGAATCAGATTAATATAAAAACAAAGATGGAAAGGCTGTCCCATGGGGTGAGAAGGCTGGAAATCAAATGCACCAGGGAAATCAAATAAACAGAGATCCACAGCTTGGAAAGTACAAGCATTATGCAAATAATGCCATTAAGCAGCAACAGAATAATTAGAGCAAAAGGCACCCCAAGCTTGATGAATCAAGCATCCATTACAAGAAAACCAGCGTTAAATATAATGAAACACCAGTTCCTGGGCGAGCCCCAGAGGCTCCCTAAAGCCATCATCACTCATTAAGTGTCATACTACCTAGTGTCATCACTTGGGGAGTTATTTTTGCCTACCAGGAATCACGAGCCAAAAGTTGGCCCCCTCACAGAGGCACAGGGAGTGATGATCTATGATCACTAACTACCCACAGAGAAAGACAAAACTGGGAACGTACCAGGGAGGTGGAGCACCGCAGGTATCAACTCGAAGTTGAGAATGAAGGCTGCAACAGAGGCCCCAGGACAACACAAGGCTGCAGATGACCAGGAATATTCACAAGATACCTGGGAGCCAAAACCCTGTTAGACCTCCAAAACCCCTATGCCCAAATATCGGTACAAGACATACTGTATTACCAAAAAACAGCCAACAAGGCAGCATATTTGCGAACATCATGCCGGAGAAGAACATGAGCTCCCCAACCCGACCCGCAGAGGCCAAAGCCAACAAAAACAAGGCTTTCCCAAAGTAATCCCAAACCGAAGGGGTCACGACAAACCGAGAAGAAAGAAAGGAAAGAATCCTGTCCAAAGACCAAGACAGAGGTGACTGTGCCTGCTCAAGGTGGCGCATGAGCAGGCCAGGAGGTGAAAAAAACCATGTGAGAGCTTGCGGAACAAAGCAGAAGCGACATCCTACCCGAACACAAGCTGCAGTGGCTCCGCCAGTGCTGCATGATAAGAAACATCAGTATTCGGCATAAGATGTCAGTCCCGGAAAAGCCAAGACAGAAAGGATAAGACAACTGTAACCTCCACAGATGAAACCCTACAAAGGGAAAGGAAATGGCAGAAAGAACACTAAAAAACTTCATACTGTCACTGAGATGAAGACCTCAGGTGGGACACCATCAAAGAAGCCCCCTGATCACCATACAAATAGCGAAACACCCTCGTCAGAAAAACCAGACGCGAAAAGTGGAGAAGTACTGTAAGTCGAAACAGCGAGGTACCTCACCAGCTTGACCTGTTGAAAGAGGTGGAGAAGCGGAAAGACTCCCATGTTAGGACACAAAACGAGAAGTGCCTGAAACCAAGGCTGGGCCGGCCAACATGGAGCCAAAAGAATCCCCCTCCCCAGGTAGGATTCGAGCCGAGCCAGAGCAACAGCCGGACCGGGGAAAAGAGGGACAGGAGCCCTCACCACAACCAATTCTGCCAAAAAGCATCCACCACGAGGATCTCACAGCCAGGGAATGGCATCACATACAAAGGGAGACGCCGAGACCATGCTGATGTGAAAATATCCACCTCCGGGACCTGTATGTTCGACAAAACCAAAGGAAGTAGGCCCAGCCAAAGCCGAACCCGGGACGGAACCAGCTGGGACTTTTGCCAGGTTACCAGGAACCCAAACCTGGAAAGCTGGGAAAGAACCAGAACCCTGGCTAGAAGACAAGCAGACTGGCAGGGAGCCCACACCAACCTGTTGTCAAGGCAGGCTGCCAGCCAGGAAGACACCAGAACCTCGTAACACACTTGATCAGTGTAAGAGGAACTAAACTCAAAACAACCGGAGGTGTAAACCAGGTCTCTGAGGATATATGTACTAATGGCCTCCCAAACCTCCCCCAGGGGTAAGCCGAGAGGAAGAAAAACCTCCAAAAAGATGAATCCGAGGAACCCCAAGGTCAGCCGGTAAACGAACTTGTGGGAAGAACCCTACCTACTACATTTGCTGACAGATAAGACGCACAATGTGTATTAAAAAGTTTCGTTATTGGATAAAATAGAGCTCCACGTCTAAAACGGCCTTAATACTGTACGGGCAGGATACCAAGCGCAGGACGAGCAGACTGGTCAAGGTCACTAGGCACAAAAGCGATGTCAATAATAAAGTAAAGAAAACAAGCCAATGACCACAGTCTGTAAACACAAGACTGAGGTAATACAATTAGAGTACCATAGTCTCGTACACAAGACTGCCCCGGGAACACAAGACCGGGAGACATGTCCACAACCCACAATTCCTCAGGGGGGAACGGACAGGGTAGAAAAAGATGGAGGAATCAATATGATTAGTACACCCATAATGGGACACAGGTGGAACCCAAGGACTCAAAGAGCCACAGACATCAGAAAGAACATGTCCAGTGGCAGAGTAGTAAAGAAAGAGAATGCAGGAGGAAGTGAAGTGATGGAGGCTGACACACTATATAAGATCAAATGGTAGAGACATTTATGGCGAGGGAAGCACACACACCAATCCACGTGCTCCCCACCCTTTTCATACCAAACATAACCCATAAAAATTCATATAAATAATCAACCGAGTTAACGGTAAGAACAATGGCGCATGAATGAAATGAAAAATGTCCCCAAAAGCAAGAAAGGAATGATAAACTTTCAACCGCCCAGCATCCCAGCAAGGGTTGGGGTGACAACAAACCACAGCTGTAGGATGGTGCACCACGACTGGTGCGCCACTCTGGTAGCCTGGCACGGCAAACTAAAAGAGTTGAGATATAAAAAAAATTTTAGTACAAAACATCCAGGAAAAAAGTTGGATGCGTCCGATGCAAAAGTGCGTAAACCACTCCGGCAAATACGGGAATACTAATTCAGACAGGGAAGGAGGGGCCCGAAAACTCCCTCCCCTCCCCTCCCCTGCAGCAATAATACATGCCCAGAGGACACAAAGGGGGGCCAAGCAGGGTCAAAAGGAACTCAAGAGCTCCAAGTGGACTTCCCCAGAGCCCTGGGAACCGCCAACAAAGGCCCCAGGGCAGAGCCCTCATCTATGCCCACCACCCCTGAAGAAAACGTGGAGTCCAAGTAAAAAACTTCCAAGAAGAAAGTTTTACTGGGTCAATTCAGAATCTCCGGCGGGAAAATCAGGCCAACCACCTTCATGCGCGTATCGGAAGGGGCAGCCCCAAAAGTCACCCGAGCCTCATCCCGAACTAAACTCCCCTCCTGACTAAACCCTCAAAACGTTTGGGAGCTGGAAGCAGGGAGGGAGGAGCAGGGCGAACTATGCCCACCTGGGAAAGAAGCGGGGCAAGGACTTCGCACAAGGCGAGAGAGATGATGCATCGATGGTATCCCCCAAGCACACTGGGGTTTTCCAGGGCCTGTAGGGTGAGTAAGCCCTACAAGAAGCCCAGGCACTGGGGTAACTAAACTGGTAGAATCCCAGGTACTAGGCCAGCTAAACTGGTAGAATCCCAGGCACTAGGTTAGCTAAACTGGTAGAATCCCAGGCACTAGGCTAGCTAAACCGGTAGAACCCTGTCTATCAGCAGGCAAACTAACCACCAGTAGCATCCGTGAAAACCTATGGGGCAACAAAGGAGGACCACCAACAGAACCTAGACTTGCCTAATAAGAAGCTAGGCACATCTCTTCCGTTAATAAAAAGCGAAAACATTAGAAAAGAAAACAAAACCCCCGAAGACACAAAGCAAACAAACTGGCAGCCAGAGAGAATCAACGGCCGCTGTATGTGCAAGTGGTGCCGGCCGCAATGCACCCCTCCCAGCCAAAAACACTCCCCACCCAGGGCAAGACGGAAAGCCCAAGACCCCCGACATACCCTAAGGGCAAAGACAACACCAAGCGACGAAGTCCTCAAACGGGAGTGAGTCCTGAACGTTCCAGGGAAGATAACCCTAAAATGCAAGGGTAGTACTTACGGAGCACTTAGGGAAGATCACCCTAGGCGCATGCTGCTCCGTGTACAAGAAGACACTTGGCCATTACACCACACACTCTGCAGGTACAGCCACACAGGGCAAAATCCCAAACAGGAACTTGAGGCCAGAGGTGACCCCAGCACACCATTTCAAGAACTGGAGTGGTGGCTGCCAACTCGCCCTCCCCCCCCCTCATGGGTGGGAGGTGGGGGTTAGCACTAAAGAGCAAGAGTGCTAATTGGAGGAAGTGTTCCTTGTTTGTTTTCTTTCTGGGGAGTTTTTCTGTTATGTTCGGAGGCAGGTTGCAATTTTCACCAGATTTTGGTCTGTTTTGTTTAGCCTATCTTTCCGAGTACTTCCCTGGTCGATGGCAATTACAACATACTTTAATGTAAAGTGCTCGTAGGCCATTGCTCCCTGCGCCTCAGTGATGGGACCAGGTTCTAGCTTATGGTTCCCAGTACACATAGGGACTCATGTGACTGATGACCCCAAACTAATACAGCATATATCAGTTCGGATAGCCTCAGGGAGCCGACGGGGATTCCCACAGAAAACAAGCATTGAATATAATGAAACACCAATTTCTGGGTGAGCTCCAGTGGCTCCTGAAGCTACCATCTCCGATGTACAGTAGGTGCAAATAACTAGGTGCCATCAGTCGTGGAGTTCTCTGGCCTACCAGGGACCCAGAGCCAGAACCTGGTCCCCTCACAGAGGTGAAGGGAGCTGTGGCAGTTATATATTAAGTTATTTATTTATGCCACCACCAAGGAAGGCACCCAGAAAGTCAGAGTCAAAACAATTAACGTCTGGCTGCCTCCGAGACCTGAGAATATAAATGACATTGTTATAAGCCAGTGTGTGCTTGTTCTTCCCACCCCCTCCTTGTGGGTAAGGGGGGGGGGATAGGCCATGGCTCACAGACCTCTCCACCCTCAGTTTGATGAATGATGTAAGAACCTGACAGCCTGTGGGGAGGAAGGGTGTCAGGGAGCCACCAGGGTTCATCCAGAAATTGGTGTTTTGTTACATTCAACACTTGTTTTCTGGGGATGAGCCCCTTGTGGCTCCCTGAAACTAACTACCCACAGAGAAGGAAAAAATTGGACACTAACTAGGAAGGAGGGAGCACTGCAGGGATCAAAGCAAAAAACAAGACCATAACACCACACAAGAGTTAACTTGGTTCACATGGAACTTGGGAGAGTTCCATGTTGACACCAAGCCACAACAAAACAGCTGGATAAACAGACCTGCAAAGCAGTAGCTGCCTGATAAGCCCCACCCCTGGAACAGTAGAGCCAAAACCTGCACTGACAAGGAAAACAGGTTGCAAAGCAACTCCACACACAAAACACTACAAAAAACATAACACACAGACCCTGAATACCATATGGACAAGCAGGTCCGAAGAGATCAGAGAAAGGAGGAATGTATCTCTAAGGAGAAGAAGGATAGAGAGTAGGACACCCTCCTCCCTCAGGATGAAGACCCTACCTCCATGGGACAGGACCCAAATGAAAACAAAGCATAGCTACAACACACATCGCAGGCCTCAGGGTGGTAGGGAACACTCACCTACAGGTGGAATGACAGGCAAGGAGGATGACCAACTGCACATTACAAGACTAAGGTATATCCTGTAACTTGCAGAGTGAGCTTGGGGGACCTGCCTGTCCTAAATCACATCCACACCACTAGGAGCTTGCTAGATCCCAAAGATAAAACCCAAATAGAAACAATGACCATGGGTCGCTTGCTGAAAATTAAACATAAAATATGGAACACAGCCTAGGAGCAAACGCAGCTGTGAAAGGCGTAAGTAGCACAATCTGAGGCAAGCGGGTGAATCCCCGTGTAACAGTAATGGTAGGAAAACTGGGACCCGAAGGACCCCAGTTTTACATCATTCTTACATCAGTCAGTCTTACATCAGTTGCAGTCCACTGCCAGTGGACAGGAGGAGAAGAAGGAATGGTTACACAGCCGCACCAGACTTAATGACATAATTTGCCAGAGTTGAGCTGGTAGCTGGTGGTGCTGTTACTTGGTGATAGCAGCACCACCACCACCACCAGACAGCTGCCACTAGAGAGTAGGTTTCCTAACTACCAAGAGGATCATTTTCTGTATTTTGTTTACCTTTACTTTACCTTTCTGGTGGTCCTTCTCAGCCTGAGTGATCTAGTATCATCAACTCTGCCACTAAAGAGAGTGCCAGGTTTTGACCTCTATTCCAAGTAGGCTCACAATGACTTGCACAGGCCTGGTGTGATTTACATTGAGTGGAGCTACCCAAGTTGCTAGCAACAGGGCAGCCACCGAGGAACCCTACCAGAAAAGGACAACAAGCCACCCAGCCCCAATGTCCAAAAGTACCAGACACAAGGAAGGTAAAGAAGATTTCTGCACAATGAATCAAAGAGAGGCAGAAAGGCATACAATTTCCCAGAATTAAACTGAAAGAATCCTTATTCAGCACAAGTGGAATCCCATAAATGCACAAGAAACATTTATAAGCACTAATACTATATACTCAAACACCTGGGGCAACTCTAGAAGAGAGGGTACAGACAGGACACCCAACCCCTTCAGAGGAGAAAACTAAAAGTTAAGTAAATGCTAGGGAAGGTAACGCTTAAAAAAGTCTGACCTAACCAAGAAGCCTGGTTGAGGACCGGGCCATGGGTACATTGAGCCCCGATATTATCGCAAGGTAACTAATCAGTTAGTACCTGCAAGATTGAGAGAATAAACAATTGTAAAGTGCAATGAAAGAAAAAATATAAAACATGCCCCAATAAGGACAACCAAGTCCCAAGGAATGCCAATTCCCTTTAGCTCAGCAGTGTTCATCCTTGCAGACTAGTGATGTATTTGGTACTAGACATGTGACCGAGGAGACTGGTAGGCTGGACCTATGGGTGACCTAAGCTAACTTGTCACCTGGTGGTGCATTTGGCCAACTACAGCTTTCTTTGATCAATCTCTTCTCTCTTCAATCAAGATGAATAGTTTCTTTAAATTGATCAGTACTTTTTGCCCAGTTTTACTTAATTTTGGGTTGATCTAAAATCCTCATACTCTCTCTGCCTCTATGAGCTCACCAGATTCTGGTCTTGGTGTTCAGTATGCCTGCACAAATCCAAAACACCTGGTAGTTTTATGTATGTGTCTGTGACGTCAGAGAAGCTACCGAAGGCCAACCCAAAAATGCTTTAATGCAGAAAGTAATGTACATGTTAGAGTTAATGGAATAAGGCATGACTGGTTAATTATTTGGCTATGGCAGGTCCTATCATCTGCAAACAATAACTTACCCTGCTTCTCCGATCATTTGCAGATGATTTTATCCAACAGGGAGAGTCATGGTAGGTATATTGTGTTATGGAAATTTAGGCCCCTCATTTTGCTACCATTGTGAAGAGTCATGCTCCTTCCTCATAATATTACTAAGACTGCACAAAATATATTTGATTAAAGTTAGGAAGAATAAAATTGCATAATAACTATACGTTTACTAAATTTCTTTCGGTATCTGGAATAGTGATTGCAGATATCTGTAGAGGAGGCAACTGGTGATGACCAAACCGCACACCAGAAGATGAAGAAACAACAACATTTCGGTCCGTCCTGGATCATTATCCTCGTATGTGATTTTGGGTCCGTCCTGGACCATTATCAAGTTGTACTGGTTGGGTCATCATATCTTCAGCCAAGTTATTGTGACTCGTCGTCTGCTTAGAGACAACTGGCGATGGATTCCCGAATGTCAGCAGATGGCTCCCGACATTCAAGAATCCAGGATGTGATTTTTACTTGCTTATTTGCCTTTCCTGAGGTGGTTAACAATCAAGCCTGGAAGCTTGTAAGTTCAGTAAGCCTGAAACTTACTGAACTTACGTTCAGTAAGTTCCAGGATGTGAACTTCCTGGAACTTACTGCTCCAAGATTGTGCCCTTCGGTTTGAATCTGGTTTTTACCAGATCTACACACATCATTGTGGCTCAGCTATGTCTCATAGGGGCCTGACGGCTGAGTGGACATCACTTGGGATTCGTAATCTCGGGATTCGTAGCCCTAAGGTTCCAGGTTTGATCCCCGGCAGAGGCAGAAACAAATGGGCAGAGTTTTTTTCACCTTGATGCCACCTGTTCATCTAGCAGTAAATAGGTACCTGGGAGTTAGACAGCTGCTACAGGCAGCTTCTTGGGGATGTGCAACAAAAAGGAGGCCTGGTCAAGGACTGAGCTGCGGGGACACTAAGCCTTGAAATCATCTCCAGATAACCTTCAAAAAGGGTTCACATGTTGGCCTACCTTCTGGTTTGCACTTCCAGTCAGACCGCATGTCAGCTGGCCAGGGATCTGGTACTTTCCCAGCATGCTGGGTTCAGGTTCCTGGTGACCTGGCAGAAATCCAACCTACAGTGTCATTGCAGTATGGTGTTAGATCAACAACACATGACTCGTTGGTTGATCAAGTGGTTGTGCGGGAGCCTGTACTTTGCCTGTGAGGTTTTCCCAGTTAGCAGAGTTTGGCTTCGGGCATTGTACTGATTTATCTGGTTCTGTCTGTTTTGTCCCTGCCAGGTCTGAAGCATTCAGGCCGTGCCTGCAATTTGTGAGCTCTTGTTTAACCAGTTTTCTCTTCAGGTTTTTCAGAGTTCAATTCTGTGGCACCATCCTTCCACAACCACCAACATCCTTCCCAAACAAGTGTTTACAGACGACTCAGCTCTAGGTTGGGACTTCGTAATTAGCACTCTCCAGACCACCAAGGGTTAATAGTAATGGCTGTTCCTTAGGGTGCACAGTACAGTGTGCGAGTCTGCAGTTGTGTGACATGCCCTGATAAGGGTTCAGCTTGCTCTGGCTCTATTCTGACAGCTCCCCGGCAGTTCATTGCCACAACTGTGACAGGTCTCCATGATCCTTGCCCCTTTGAAGCCGGACACTTTGCGCAGCTCGGCTAATGGATTCTTTGGGTTTGGTTCTCTCCACAATTCTTGTGCTGGGTGTATCCAACATTCTCACAAGTAAGTTATCTTTGCTTTCGTCCAATTTCCACGGAGTAGACCACAGACGACACGTCCTTCCTTTGGCTTTCCTAGACGTTCAATTACCCCAAGGTGGGCCACTTCACATTGCCATGGAACCATTGCCTCCCTCCTACATGGCCCCATTTGTGATTGTACTTCAATTTCCGTCAGGAGATGTACTTACTTCAATCGTAACATTGAGATACACAATGTTACTTTTTCTACTGGTGGATCATAGTTACTAAGAACTTAAGTTTATCAGTGCCCTAGTCAGGTTCAGAGCAGTTTATTTAAGGAAGCTACTATGGGGTTTTGCTCAGGAAAAACCTGAGCAAAACCCCAAATATTGCCCCCTAAATACTTTTGAGGGGGCCCAAAATGGACATATTTACTAATTTTGATTCTAACGTATCTTTTACAAACACTAGCTCATTAAATTATGGGCAGATACAGTATATCCTCTATGAGGGGTCACAGTATAAGAAAACTGAAGCCAATGTTTAAGGAGCGTTTTCAAGAATCCAAAATAGTGATTTCAGCATTAGATGATGACTATAAACTTTATTATGACTCCTCTTCAATTACAGCACAAGTAAAAAACCAGCATTGAATGTACTGAAATGCTATTTTCTCGGCGAGACCCCGGAGGCTCCCCGGAGCTTACTGGGCTGATATGGTAATGTCCGACTTTGGCATCGGTCATGTGTATGGAGTTCTGTGGGCCTACCGGGGACCACGACCCAGTACCTGGCCCCCTCAGAGAGGCATAGGGAGCAATGGCCTATGGAAACCCCCGTATGGTTGGAAGCATTCTGTCTGCCATCGACCAGGTCAGGCACCCAGAAAGGTAAGCATCCCAAAACAAACCCCTATTCTGATGAAAGTACAGTATTGCTACCAAAAGCCGAACAAGTGGATAGAACTCTCCTAAAAGAAACGAGCAAACGATCATGAAGTCACACGTCACCGCACCGCTGTCTGTGCAGCGCGTCCCCGGACACAGAAGCAATGGCGCGCAATAACGGCAAAGAGCCGCCACCGGACACAAAACACAATGCACCCCTAGCCCAACCAATCAAGCATCAACAACTCAGGGACCCCTCTGGAAAGCAGCAGTCTCATTCCTCGCCAGAAAAGAAGGAAACAGCTGCAGGCGAACAAAACCAACACAAAGACCGAAAAAGTAGAAACCCCTGCGCCAGAGGAGAGCATGAAGCACCCCAACCCGACCCCCAGAGGCCAATGCCAACAGAAAAAGAGCCGTCGAGAACAATCCTGAACCGAAGGGGCCACAACAAACCAAGGTGAAGAAAGAAAAAAGCACTCTGTCCAATGACCAGGACGGCTCAGGCGGCACAAGAGCAGGCCGGAGGTGAAACAATGCACGAGACAGCTTGCGAAATGGTGCAGAAGTAACATCAACACCGAAAGCAAGCAGAAGCGGCTCCGCCAGTGCCGCACGATATGAGGCGACAATATGGGGCAAGATGACAGCCCCAAACCTCCACAAGAGAAGGACAAGACCACACCAACAAACGCAGCTACCGAAGAAGGGACAGAAGAAAAAGGAAGGACCGCCAAAAGCCCCACACTTCCGCCAAGAAGAAGCACAAGCACCATCAGAAGCCACCCCGACCACCGACAGAAGGTGAAAGACTCGAGGCAGACCCGAACCGACTCTGCATGGGCCAATTGAGCCTAGGAAGAGGAGGAGCCCGACCACGGAGTCAGCAGAGCTGAAAACCCAAGCCAGCAAAGCAGGAGACGGAACATCCACCATACAGAAAAACATCCCAACGCCCACGAGCCCACCAGGAGATCGGAGACAACAGTTCCGATGCGCGATTCTAGAGAAGGGAAACCGAGAGACCGTGAAACCGCCAACAGGCCGGGTAAGCCAGGAAACCAGGAACCCAAACCTGCCAAGAGGAGAGCCAAAAAGGCACAAACAAAACACACAACCATGTGTAGGATAAAATGAGAAGACAGAAAAACAAAAAAAGACCAGAAGAAAAGCCCCAGCACCAACGGCCAGAGACAAGAGCGTAGAGGGAAGATGAGGAACGAAGAAGGCAAGTAGCAAAACGGGAATGAAAGGGACACGACCAACAACACAGAGCTGCTGGTCATGTCCCAACAAACCATGCCAACACAGTTGTGCGACACGTCCCAATTGCTTTACTTCGCTGATCGGAGACGAAAAGACGAAAAAAAAAAAGTGCAAAGGTACGCCACCAGACCAGTACCCGAACCATGGAGTACGGGCGACGAGGATATGATCACCACATGTAAGATTCCCAAAGAAAGGGATAAGGTAGAGAAGGACCGACTATAGGACCCCAGGGGCACACGCACCAGGGGACACCGGTGGAATGAGAGCCCAAATGAGCCAAAGAGACATGGGAAAGAAGTACAGTATTACAGTGTCAGAATAGTAGACAAGTGGAATGCATGAGGAAGCGACATGGTGGAGGTTGACACCACACACACAACTTCAAGCACAGATAAGATAGAGCCCAGCAGGCCCAGGAACCTGCACGTGAGTGAATGACAGGTGAGAAGTGGGACCAAAAAGCCAGAGCTCAACTCCCGCAAACACAACTAGGTAAATACCGTACAGAGAATCCAATGTATATGGAAGGGCTAAGCCAGGCACTGCAAGACGTGCAAGGAATGAGTGACCCAGAGAAGACCACGAAAAACGGGGCCATGACCTCCTTGCAACCATTAACCCAGATGAACAAGTAAGGTCCCAGGAAGCACAGAAGGGCCAAACAAAAATCCACAACTAATCCCCAACACGCATCCACAGCATGAAAACTGCAGCAAAATGTCACCTCAAAACATCCAGACAGGAACACTTACCCCATAACATATACCCCCACCATTGTACCTCGTAACCTGGTGGAGGTAGGGCCCCCTATCTGGACTCAAGCATGGGCTGGACATGCATAAGAGTGAGACTGGATGGGTATAAATAGGAGCTGCCTCATATGGCCCAACAGGCCTGCTGCAGTCACCTGTGTTCTGACGTTCATATAATCTTATCCAAAATTCACCAACCAGCACCTGGCCGAAAGAGAAGCCGAACTGCATAAACTCACCTGCAGAACGTAGGCACGAACGTGTCACGACACAACATAGCTGAGAAGATTCCGGTAGCACCGATAGTGGAAGAAGGCAGAGCCGCAAATGCAGGAGAAGAACATGGTAGAGGTGAAGGAGGAGCCCTACACCCATACACAGGGAAAAACCCAGTAGTCTCTCCCATTGCAGCAATCCAGAACACCCCCAGGAGCTACGAGGCACGGACTGAAGAATTGAGAAGAGCGAGAGGCGAAACTCCCGAGAGAAAAGGGACGCAAAACCCCAGCACACGTGCACACTGCCAGTATCAAAACAAACAACCATGGCGCATGAGTAGCAGGGATGCCAGACATGGATTGCCAGAAGTCGCGAGCTACAGAAAGAAACCACGAATGTGCCTAGAAAAATAGACAAAATAGTGTCGTTAACGACCGAATCCCATAAGAGAGTACACAGGGCAGCCGCAACCGTAGTCGAAAAGAGCAGGAAGGAGCGAAAAGAAACATAGCACACCTTCCCCTTTGGGCTACAAAGAGCCCAACTGGCTACAAGAAGCCCAATCTGGCAACCCTGTGCAGCGCAGGACAGTGCACGGAGAGAAGAGACAAACACGAAAGAACGAAACGGACCGAAAACCGAGAAGCTCGGAGAAGGACCAACAACCCCCAGAAAGGACCGGAAGACAACAGACGTTCCAAGAATACGGGAAGAATCAAAACTTTCCTGATCCTTCTAGAACATAAAGAAGCAAGCGTGAAGCACAAAGGCACGAAAGGTAAAGTCACACCCGAGACCAAAAGTCACACAGATCCCCGAGAAGAGGGGAACATAACTGTGAAGGCCCGTCCCAAGAAGAAAGGTGGAGAAACGTACCCACCGACAGGACGGGCCCGACGGATCCAAGGGACAAGGAACCGATCCCGGGAAGAGGCCGACTCCCAAAAACATATACGGAGACGAAAGAGGGGAAGAAAAAAAACCCACTCCTCGTAACCACAAGCCCCGCCCAGGGGGTAGAAAAACCCCGGCGGGGTCCAAACATCAGCCCTTCACCAGCCCCAGGAACCCACAAGGCAGGTCCCGGGGCTGAGCCGTTCCCCCAAAGCCCCAGCCTCACAAGAAAAGCCCGGGCAACCGGACAAGGACTAAGGAAGGGAGCCCACTGGCAGACTCATACCACACGGCAGGAGGAACAGGCTCGAATGCTTCCGTCGCTACCCCAGAAGGGGGAAATCCCAGAGACCGCCCGAGTCTCAAGACCAGCGAAGCCCCACCCTGACCTCGAACCCACAAACGGTAAGGATCCAGATGCAGGGAGGAAGGATGGGGGGGACCATAATAGGACTAACTAGGGGGCACGGAAGGAACAAAACCCAAGCGTCCAACACCCCCAAGGCCCGTCACACTAACCAAAACGAGACAGCCGCGGGGCTCCCAGGGAGCAAACGACCTAGCGTGTTTCACCACCAAAACTCAACTGGCAACTCCAGTGCTGCCTGCACCCACATAGTCAGCATAAGACAGGGTAATCGAGCCACAAACAAGCAACAAAACTCGCAGGATTCCGGGCCGAAGGTATCACCGACCTCATAGGCAGCAGACAGAGGCAAAACACTGAGTGCCACCCTGAGACAAGGGGACAGAGCAATCCTCGAACTCGCACAAAGCGAGAGGGATGGGGAGGCTCCGGGGTCACATCCATCGGACCCACGTGCCCCCTCGGGGTTTCCCAGGGTCCTGAGCGTTTACCTACAGGGACTCTCACCTAAGTAATCCCAGGCAGGGTACTGCTAACCAGCACCCACAAATACCAAACAACTTTCTAAGAGCTGAACCCCAGGGACGTGTACACTCACGGGGACCTAGCAGGGGGAACCACCGGAAGAAGGAAGAGTACCCAGTACACAGGGGGGCAAGAACCAAAGCAGACCACCCACCAAGCAGACAAACAGAAAGTAAAAGAAAACCCCGCAAGAGGACAACGTATCCAGGCGGAACAGGGCCAACTACTATGATTGGTGAAACCAAGCTGCACAATACCCTGTGCCCCTACCAGTGCAAACTGCCCCCTACCCCAAGGCGAACAAGGGAGATGGAACACCAAAGGGCGGCCGAAAACCAAGCAGTAAACGGCCTAGCAGGGGCAGAACTCAAGGAACTTGTGGAAGGTGGTCCCATGCCCCAAGGGCAGTACTTACAGGGCCCCTAGGGAAGAAAACCCTAGGCTCATGCAGCCCGAGTACAGGAGAATCATTCCCAGCTCACGCACCACCTAGAAGACAAACACCACACTCTAGGTACAGTGCTGAAACAACTAATGGAGCCAGAACACACGACCTCAGCCTCTAGCATCAGCCTTAGAACTGACGGGTGGATAGCCAGCATGAAGGGTCTGGGGCTTCCCTTTTTCCCCTCCCGAGGAGGGGGGAGTTGCGCAGACAGCGGTGCGGCAACGTGTGACATCATGATCGTTTGTTCGTTTCTTTTAGGGGAGTTCTATCCACTTGTTCGACTTTTGGTAGCAATACTTTCAACAGAATAGGGGTTTGTTTTGTGATGCTTACTTTTCTGGGTGTATGACCCAGTCGATGGCAGACATAGAATGCTTCCAACCACACGGGGGTTTCTATAGGCCATTGCTCCCCATGCCTCTCTGAGGGGGCCAGGTTCTGGCTCGTGGTCCCCAGTAGGCCCACAGAACTCCATACACATGACTGATGCCAAAGTCTGACATTAGCATAACAGCCTAGTAAGCTCCGGGGAGCCAAAGGGGCTCCCCCAGAAAATTTTTAAATACATGGATGGCGATATACTAAAGAAATTGTTCACGACTTTTGCTAGGCCAAAGCTAGAATATGCAGCGGTTGTGTGGTGCCCATATCTTAAGAAGCACATCAACAAACTGGAAAAGGTGCAAAGACATGCTACTAAGTGGCTCCCAGAACTGAAGGGCAAGAGCTACGAGGAGAGGTTAGAGGCATTAAATATGCCAAAACTAGAAGACAGAAGAAAAAGAAGTGATATGATCACTACATACAAAATAGTAACAGGAATTGATAAAATCGATAGGGAAGATTTCCCGAGACCTGGAACTTTAAGAACAAGAGGTCATAGATATAAACTAGCTAAACACAGATGCCGAAGAAATATAAGAAAATTCACTTTCGCAAACAGAGTGGTAGACAGTTGGAACAAGTTAGGTGAGAAGGTGGTGGAGGCCAAGACCGTCAGTAGTTTCAAAGCGTTATATGACAAAGAGTGCTGGGAAGACGGGACACCACGAGCGTAGCTCTCATCCTGTAACTACACTTAGGTAATTACACATGAAATACCTTTCACAATCTTTTGTTCATTTTTAAACACAAAGGAATCTCTAAACATTTCACCAGTTACAGTCTAATGTTGGGTGTACTTTCATCTCACCTTGACTGCGTTCTTGCATCTTTCTGCTCCACATCATATCTAGCTTAGGAATAGCAACCATAGCTGGCTGCAACACGTGCCCACTGACCATTGGCAAGACCACACTCTGCCGCGGTGATATATTATTGCTGGTGGCACCCAGCGGCAACCTTGCACCTGTGAGTAACACAACATTAAGGAATAAATCTCTCACTTCAAAAAATTTATAGGGAAATAAATGCCTGCATGAAATTTTTAAACAAAATACATACATTTTTAAATTAATTAGTTTATCACAAAATATCGAATCTCTAATTACTTTCAAGGAAATGTTATATAAGGTATGGTACAGAGGAAGTATTATACAAAGTACACTAGTGTTATACAAGGTATGGCACAAATGAAGTTTTATACGAGGTACGGTAAAATGTAAATGCTATACAAGGTACAGCGCAGAGGAAATGATATACGTGATACGGTACAGAGGAAACTCATTCAAATGACATACATATAAAAAAAAAAAAACAGCGTAGAATGTAATGAAACGACATTTTTTGGGTGAGACCCGGAGGCTCCCCGGAGCTATCCAGGCTGATATGTAAGTATTAGCTTTCCTGGCATCAGTCAAAGTGCATGGAGTTCTTGCCTACCAGGGACCATAAGCCAGGACCTGGCCCCCCTCAGAGAGGCACGAGGAGCAATGGCCTATAGAAACCCCCTTGTGGTTGGAAGCATTCTATGTCTGCCATCGACTGGGTCTGGCACCCAGAAAGGTAGGTACCCAAAACAAACCCCTATTCTGGTGAAAATATTATTATTGAAAGTCGAATGAGTGACCAGAACTCCCCCAAGGGAAATTAGCAAACGAGCACGACGTCATCACGTTGCCGTGCCGCTGTCTGTGCAATCCCCCCTCCTCCCCAGGAGGGGGAAGGCGGAGCTCCAGACCATTGTGCCGGCGATCCAACCAGCAGTTCTTAGGCTGAATGTCAAAAGCACGCGAAAACATAACCGACCGGAAGGAGGGAGGGGATGCCAGGAAGCCTCCAGGTCTCACCCAGAAAATGGCGTTTCATTACATTCACTGCCGGTTTTCTGGGGGGGTGGGGGGCCCATCGGCTTCCCGAAGCTAACTACACAAAGACAAGGAAAAACACAGACGTACCAGAGAGGCGGTCAGTTCTCGCTCCTCAACGTGAAGTCGAGACAACTAGCTGCAAACGCTGACCCAATGTAACACAGGCCCTACCAGGTCCAGGGACGCTGACAAGGTAGCGAGCGGCCAGGACCCTGTTCTACCTCCAAAAAACCCGTGCCCGAATAATCAACCCAAGACATGTTGCCAAAGACATGTTGCCAAAGACAGCAGCCAAAGCAGCAAACTTACGAACATCGTGGACACGGGGATAGACCACAGGCTGGCTAGACTTAATAACTCTGAGGACAATCTGAGAGACCCGAACCCGGGAACAGGGAAGGGGGAAAACCGGGTCAACCCAAAGCACATTCCCGGCCACCAAAGCCATGGCGCGCAAATGACGGCAGAGAGCCGCAACCGGACACAGCACATGATGCACCCCCGGCCTGACCAACCAAGCATCAATAACCCAAGGACACCTCCGAAAAGGAGCGGTCTCATTCTTCACAAGAAAAGATGGTTGACGGCTGCAACCGAATAAACCTACCACCAGGACCAAAAGAGCAAAAACCCGTGCACTGGAGGAGAGCATGAAGCTCGCTGACCCGACCCCCAGAGGCCAATGCCAATAGAAAAAAAAGAGCCTCAGAAAAATCCTGAACTGAAGGGGCCACAACAAACCAAGGAGAAGAGAGAAGCAGAGAGCACCCGGTCCAAAGACCAGGACGGCTCAGGAGGCGCATGAGCAGGACAGAGGTAAAACAATGCAGGAGACAGCTTGCAGAACGGGACAGAAGTAATATGAACACCGAACGCAAGCTGGAGCGACTCGGCCAGTGCAGCACGATACGAGGCGACAGCATTCAGCATAAGATGAAGATCCTGGAACAATCACAAAATTTAGGACAAAACAACTCTATCAGAGACCGAAGTACACTTACACAGTGACAGGAAAAACCAGAAGGACCACCAGGAAACTTCATATTGCCGCCGAGACAAAGCACGCAGGTGGGAGGCCAGTAACGAAGCCACCTGCGCCCCATACAAGTGATGATAGACTTGTGTCAGAAACTCCAGACACAAAGACTCGAGGAGAAGAAAGGACCAGCCTTGTACCGGGCTAGACCGATCTGCTGAAAGAGGCAGAGCCACGGAAAGACCCTCAGGTTTGGACACCGAGCAAGCAGTGCTTGAAACCAAGGCTGGGCCGGCCACCAAGAAGCTAGAAGGACAACTCTCCCCTGGAAAGTCTGTAAGCGAGCCTGGACCTGGAGCAACAGCTGACCCGGGGAAAAGAGGTACAGATAACCCCACGTCGCCTAGTCCTGCCTGAAGGCGTCGACCCTGGCAGCCTCGCAGTCGGGGAAGGGCGCCACATATATCGCGAGATGCCTCAACCACGCCGCCGTGAAGAGATTCACTACAGGAGCAGGCGATGAGTCACAATAACGTGGCTAAAGTATGTTGACCATATTGAGTCGATTGTGTCGACTTGAGAATGGTCCAGGACAGACCGAAACGTCGTCGTCTCTTCACCTTCTAGTGTGTGGTCTGGTCAAAATTCACTACAGGAGACCCAAACGTCTGGTAGAGCCAACTGAACAAGTTGGCATCGACCGTCCATTCCGTAGACAAGGGACTGAACCGGGACAGGCCGTTCGCCAGGACATTGGACAGCCCCCAAACGTGAACTGCCTGGAGAGCCAAACCCCAAGAACTCAGCAGACGAGTCACCTGAAGCGACCAGAGCCAAGGACCGCATGGAAACCCCCCCTTGGTTCAGGCAATGAACCACCAGAGAACAGTCCGAATGGAGCCGGATCATCGATCCGCTAGTGACCGGAACCCTCCGGAGCGACATCCACACAGCTGCGAACTCCCGCATCGTGCTGTGAGCCCAACAGAAGAATGGACCACACCATTCCTTTCCGGCCTGGTGAGCACTGGTCACAAAGCCCCAGCCCAGAGACGACACATCTGTGAACACATCGAGCGAGGGCTCGGGTAGGCGCTAAGGCACTGAACCCAAAAAAAACCGAAGAGGAAGCCGGCAACGCAAGAGAGGCAGAAGGAATGTCCCCGAAGGAACCAGAACAGCCAACGAAGCCACACCTGACCCAGCGGTAAACCATCATGACAAAGTTCCGGCTCCTGCACAAACCCTTGAACAACCGCCACATGACCCTGGAGCCCCTCAGGAATAGATGAATCGGGAACGCAGACGAAGCAAACCCACCGGAGAGAGACAAGGAAGCGGTCCGAGCGTCCCACACAAAACCCAGCTAAGAACCAACCTGAGAGGTAACCAGATGGGACTTCTGCCAATTCACCAAGAACTCAAATCCTGCAAGCTGGGAAAGAACCAAATCCCTGGCAAACAGACATGCGAATTGGCTGGGAGCCCAAACCAACCAGTCATCGAGGTAGGCCAGAATCCGAACACCTAACAGACGCAGACGGGTCACTAAGACCCGAATAAGGTGTGTGAAAACGCGAGGCGTTAGATTCAAGTCGAATGGAAGGCAACGCAAGCAGAAACCTTGATGCCCCACAACAAAACCGAGCCAGTCCCTGAACCGCGGATGAATCTGGACATGCAGTGGAAGGTCCAGGGACGTCCTTGAGGTCCAGGGACACGATCCAAGCGCCCAGCTCCAACAGAAGATGAACCTGGGACAGAGTAGTCATCCGAAAAGAGGGGCAATAAATCTAGGATTTCAGACGGGACAAGTCCAGAATGAACCAGAGGTCCACTCAGTCCTGTTTCGGGACCGGAAACAGACAGGAAGCCAACCTGAGAGACGAGGTCGAGTTCGACCACGCCCAAGCGAACCTACTCCGAGATGACTCGACAGAGCGCAGGAGAAGAGGCCTGCCCCGCCAGCCCAGAACCCTCCGAAGGAGGAGCCACCCAACGCCACCACAGTCCGCAAGAAACGACCCAAAAGGCCCACAAATCGTGGGACCAGGCGCGAGCGAACAAATTGAGCCTTCCCCATCGCCACGTCCATGGTGCGAAGCAAGTAAGTTGGCTTAGTGTTTTCCTTCTACAGCTTTTATCTTGAAATATGGTTAACAATCTTAAGAGACTTTATTTGGACATGTGCTAGAACCAGCTGCATATTTTTACTGCATCATTCCAGTAATCTAGGCACGAACCTTCCAGGAAGGAACCCCTTCCCCCACGAGCCCCCCAGAGAATTAACAAGTCGGACATAAAACAGCAACTAGTCGAAGCCGCCTGCAGATACTGTACTTCACAACGGCCAGAAAGTGAGGCCTCACTGATGCCAGAAAGCTAATAGTTACATACTGTATTAGCCTGGATAGCTCCGTGAAGCCGACGGGGCTCTCCCCAGAAAATTTAATCTATTGTACATTATATTTTGTTGCTGCAAATGACAGAACATGCTTTCATGCATATTTTGATATAATACCAAAATCACATAAAATTTAAATTATAAATATAAACTATGTACAATTTTTTAGGCATTGCACTCTTGTCTGACAGGAATTTCTCAGTCTTTGGACATTGGTTCCATTCCATTTAACATCTTATTGGATCGAAACCTTGCACTTCGTCAAATGTTTCACTAGACTAGGTGTTGTTGGACCACGATCCATTTGAGTTTTAAATGTACTTTTTTATTTGTATTAACACATACAGAGAGCTTTTGCTGTGTAAGCAAAACACAGCAACAAAGCCTAGCATAAGCAAATTTGTACAGAATGAACATATCTAAGAGAGTCTGTCTATTACTCCCATAGGTTTAACATTCCTGAAGCCCTAGAAGACTCATAATTAGCAGTGAGGCACGATTGAAAGGGTTATAGCACCACTGCAGGGTTGTAGGTGCTTGGGAGTATCAAAGAAAATGAGATACCAAAATATAGCTCAAAATATGATGACCAAAAAATGCTGACAGGAACGATGGAGGGAGGGATGCCGGGAGAGCCTCTGGATCTCACCCAGAAAATGGCATTTCATTACATTCAACACTGGTTTTCTGTGGAGAGCCCATTCGGCTCCCCGGAGCTA